CTCTCTCTCTCTCTCTCTCCAGTCCATTGGCTTTAAAGCACTAGTTCGACTGAGCCCAACCTAGGCTCTTTCTGGTGTACACGGAACTATCCTGTCACTTCGGCCTACATGACCCAAGGGGTTTTCCGAGGGAGTGCGCAAAACTGCGAGTACCCCGACTTTGGTGATTTTTAGTTCCAGTTTCCAGCACGGAAAATTTATGAAAAAGAAATGAGGAATGTTACTTACATTACTCTGTGCAAGGGGAAAAAATTACGAAATAAGAAAAATGGTTTGACCAAATTGACCTATGAAACAATGTTCGCACCAAACAAAATCCATATTTCAATTCAAAGTTGGTGTGGCCTGGAAGTAGTGACGTGTCAGGCTTTGGGGTTTGTCTTCTTGGGTTCATAGCTTCATACATTTAGGCCACGGTAGCTGAACTGGCGGGTGCACCCATGAACGGTTTAACAATATTCATTCAACCCAGAGTTCACACTTGCAGACACAATAAGCAGATACGATGGGTTGGATGGACAAAGAAGGCAACAGAAGGACTGTAAAGGCACACATGGAAGAGAACAAGGGGATAAAAACAGGCTGTTTCGTTGAATTTTCATTTGCTGATCAGGGAGGCCGAACCCCTGGCAGACTGCAGAGTCATCTATATCACAATCTGGTTCAACGCCTGTTGTGAGTGGACAAGCAAGCAGGTCGCAATACAGGCAGCAAGGCAACAAAATAGGCAGCAGCAAGGTGGATGGGTGGGTGGATGGTCGAAGCAACGAAGCAAGGAAGTAGGTGGAAAAGCAGGCAACACAGCAGCCATGCAACACAAGGTGATTGGGGATGCAGGCAGGCCCTGGGAACGGCACCCAATGAGGCAATGAAGCCGGTAAGCAGGCAACACAAGGAAAGCAGTAGGGTGGGCATGTGACAGGCAACAACGCAGGCAAGTGGGCAAGACAAGGCGACTCGGGGGTGGGTGTGTGAGGCAGGCGGCAAGACAGCAAGGTCAACAACGCAGGCAAGTGAGCAACACAAGGCGACTGGGGGGTGGGTGTGTGAGGCAGGTGGCAAGGCAGCAAGGTAACTCAAGGCAACCATGTGGGGAAGCAGGCAACAAGGCAACATGGTGGCACCAACGTATCTGCCCACACGTTGAGCAAGAACCAGAGTGGACTGTCACTGACTCGGACCATATGGTCAGGCTCACTTGACCCTCGGGAACCAGAGAGCCACGGGGTAAATGTCTGTTGTCACCAGGAAATGCAGCCGATCACGAGCACATGGTCCCCTTAATAGTGTAAAGACACTTCCATCAGGCAGTGGGCCGTTGTAGAAGCAGAACAAAGAGGAGATAACAGACAAAGAGGAGACTAAAGAACCAACAAACAGTGTCTAGGTCTTCCTGATGCACATCTTCAGCATGCCTCTATAACGTATGTGCGAAGTTGCTGGTTTGCAGACGTGTGCCAGGAATATAGTGAGCAGGCATGCAGGTACTACTGTGTTGAGCTTTTTGGGAATAGCGGAGAGGTTGTGGACCTGAAGGGATCTATTTAATCCCATGCATGATGACCTTGTCCAATCGCTGTGATGGAGGTGTTTCCTTTCCTGTTGTTGTTGATAGTTCAGCGCCTGACGGTGGCAGATCTGTGGCCATATGCATGTGTATATACGTGTGCCTTAGGGCAAGGAAGGACATTCAATTGTTAGAGGAATTACGCATGGTCGCAGGGGTGTAATTATTTTACCTTGAACAGGTCCGATGGCCAGTAGGTCCTGTCTGGTGCTGCCGGGGTCGGGCCCAAGTCCTGTTGTTGAGGCTGATGCCAAGGATACCGTTCTCGGCCGTTTTGTCTTAGCAGCATTGTGTACAGGCTCGCCGTTAGCTTTTGCCGCTGCTTCTGCCTGCTGCCGTTCCCTTCTCTTGGCTGCAGGTACCCAAGTACTCTTCACGTGAGTTGGGCAAATGAACCCTCTACTCTTGCAGCACGTTCGACAACGGTGGTAGTTGCAGTCTTTCTTTGCTTGATTGCCACACTCATGACATGCAGACGTTCCTGATGATGATGGCTCCTGTCTTGCAGTGGTGATTATTAAGCTATTGTTTGCTCCTCCGTCTGGAAGGGAGCCCTGCTCCATCTCCCACTTCTGAAAAACTTAGACGGAACTGTTTTTCCTTTTACGTGTGCGAGGACCAACTGTCTTTTCCTCCAGCAGGGCTTTTATGTCTCAGCTCATGCTTCAACGCTCGTTTTTGTCCCTCCACGCCTCTCTGTCTCTTCGCATCATGATCATAATCAAGCCAACGGTGTTGGTCTAGATTGACTGCATGTGCTACACCCACTAGCTTGACTGCAAATCTTTGCAGGATTGGCAGCAGGTGAGTGACCTCCGCTTCAACACTTTCACGGCTCGCTGCAGCTGCCACTCATAATCACAACCATTGCACACTGGGACAATCCAGTTTGGTTAGTCAATTCACCCCTTTCTCGAACAACGAGCCACGAAGAACACAATGACACTCTAAAAGGATTTGCTGTGATGAGTACGACAAGCCTGGAGTTGCACCCACACTGTCTGTCAAACCTGCCGTAGTAATTATTATGACCCTTGAAGCAATTGGAAAATACGGAAAGAAATAGGGAAAAGGATGGAATGGAACAGATGAGAGCATGCGCCTGAATGACAAACACACTAGCCAAGAACAGAGGGCAGTAACTCTTGTGTGCCTGACATATATCTGCATAACAACTTGTACTGGACTACATTATTCCAAACATCCCTGTTCAATCAAACAATTATTGAATACAACGACAGTCACCATTGTTTGGTGCATAGGAGGGAATGGCAGATAGATATTGCTCCATCGTTTCCTGAGGGGCCGAAAGCTCTGATTGATTGGTGGGGAGCCGCACCTGCTAGAAAGCGGGTTTAGCGTCCCATAAATTGTTCACTTTTGTCTGTGTTTTATGGGGTCAGGACCTCCCACGCAGACAGCGTTACATACCAACTGCTCTAGCAACCCCTACCGCTGTCTTCTTGTTAAGCCATCATGAATAGGGGCACAATGATAACTGAGAAGTCATGACTCGAGAGGGATCAATCAGAGGCCAACAAGAGCATCATTCCACAGCAGTAAAACACTCCAACCAAACTCAACAGTCCGATTCGAAATGATCCTTGGCAGTTCTACTTATGGGCATCCTTAACAGTCTGCAGCTTTTACACTTCCTCACAATGCTCTCTGAAACCAACGATTGGAATACCCGTATAATGCAACCAGACAAAAACGGTTCCCTTCCATAGGTCCAAGAGTCCATCTGAAAGACTGGAATATTGCAATGTTATCCAGGAAAATGAAAAAGGAGAACGATCTGCTCTCTCTCTCTCTCTCTCTCTCTCTCTCTCTCTCTCTCTCTCTCTCTCTCTCTCTCTCTCTCNCTCTCTCTCTCTCTCTCTCTCTCTCTCTCTCTCTCTCTCTCTCTCTCTCTCTCTCTCTCTCTCTCTCTCTCACCCCCGCTTGTGTGGCTGTTCGTTTGTGAAAGTAGTATTCATCTGGCACGTCATGACACAAAACTCACATCACCTTGTTCCAAAACAACGCGATAGTCCAGCATATTCAAGGAAGCAACGCGATGTGAAGGAAAAAATTGCACAAGTGCATAGGATGTTTCTTGCCAGACTAATTTCAGCGTGTTCGTTGCATGAAACTGTGGCATAATTTGTACTGGTTCCCGTTCGTAGAGTTCTTTCTCTGAGTGCCAGATCCGCAAGTGCATTCATTCATGCTTTGGGATTTTTGAAGGATGCCAAGTACTGCCTAAAAAACACATGTTTTTAATGTAAAAAAAACATGCATATGTGCACGTGCACCAGTTACTATGCGATTCAAGAGAACAATCGCTTGGTCCGCATGTGCAGATATGCTTATAACTAGGATACCTATGCGTAAAGAGCTTCATCGAGAGGAGTAGTGTCCGACTCGCCTACTGGGAACTTGCATATGAATGGATGATCTATCATCTATATCTTATCCCAAGTGAGTGAAAGAACGACTCTAGAAAAGAACACTCCATCACATGTTTTTCGAAGTGATCACTTCGCACGTTTTCATAAACCTAAGATTTATGTTTGATGCGAGGAACGTTTTCACAGTCTGGATTTTAGTTTGAATATTAAGGTCAAAATGCCAAGGTGTACTAATGCTCCGGATCTGCTTATAGTGATGATCATGTACTCTCCATGGCTCTCCCATAACTTCTACAGCTGCCACTGCTTTCCGGTTTGTCAACGTTTGATCAATTGTGGTAGTGCAGCAGAGGTAGTATAAGTACATTCCTCTGGAGGATCAGACCTCCCCACGTTCTCTTCTGAGCGTTCGTCACTCGTCTTCGTCATTTCTGCAACATTTGAGAAATTGTCTTCTGCAAGGTCCACAAGTCTTGGAGCACCTTCCCTTTTTTCCTGACCGTGTAAATGAGGAGGATCTGCTTGTTTCACCTTTACCCCACTTATTTGTCAACGTGCGTTCCTCATCCGCCATGGTCCTGACGGTCAGCAACGCGCTCCGCTTGGGGCCCAAAAGGATGCTAATCTCTAGGGAAGCACCCTCTAAAAGTAATGCATGCTGGGTTTTGGCCCAACTCTAAATCTTGTGTCTGCAACATGCGAGCAAATTTGTGCAGAAGATCACACACTTTTCGTCCCAACGACTGCTGCAAAAGTTCAATGAGTCAATTGCCTACTCCTTGTGCCCTTGTGACAACCAGAGACTCTTCTCTAGCAGCCTATTGCAACAGTCTTCCCCAGAGACTTTCTGCACATAGCCTTTCAATTTGCCAACTGATGAAATTTTCAAGTTGGCCCATGCTTTGGCCAAGTTCTCCATGTTGCTAATAATGAAATGGAACTTCGTGATACCGTTTGTTATACTGTGATAAGAAATCTGGTGTTTCAGCTTCTGCAACCAGACTTCAACATTATCCTTTGGCAGTTACTTGAAGCTTCCAGGAATCTAATCTTCGACCTTTGTTGATGGGCCCTGTTGATTTCCTCCTGCATGCAGGGAGGAAGGCCGATTGAGACTGTTATGGTGGAGGAGAAGCGTGCAATGCCTTCATCGGGTCATGAATGACCTTCGCTAAACCGGCCAGTGCGGCAAACTGCTTGCACATGAAGTCAACAGAACTCTCTATGACATCCATGTCCACAACACGGACAACAAAGAACCCGGACAACTCCAACATGTGTTCTTGTCCTACAAAGACTTTTCGCATTTGACGATGTTCGTTTTCCGCAACTCCTCATCCCGAACCGCCTTTAATCAGGGTGTACAGATTAGCTTGGCTGCTATGCGGTGAGAACAGAACAGCTATGGAGGATATCGGGTAGGCTGGTATTGTCTCTGAGTACAATGTCCTGATACAGGGGGGTTAGGAGTTGATCCAAGAGTAGGAGGTCAGAAGGGCTGATATACTAATCATCAGCAGCAGTAATTCTTTCAGCATTTACTATCATCATAATCATCAGCTTCAGAGGTGGGACGCTGAGCCCGGTTCTCAGCAAGCTGGGTTCGGTTACTCCGGGTAGACTGTGAGGACCCCGGCCTCAATCTCATCTTATTGATAATATCAGCCTTGGGCACTGGGCCCGTTTTT